TAGGCTTGGGTCGTGTATTTTCAAAAATTACAAAGTCTGAATTCATTTTCTGACTCTGGCCGTTCCACATTTTGATTTCTTTGGACCATGCCACTTTCCTTAGAGATTATGATTCGATCTTTATCTTTTAAGATTACGATTCCACCTTTATCATAAGAATTTTCTGCAGCTTCACACAGGCACAACATAAAATCACCGGAAAAAAAAACTTAATTCATGAGTTCCAGTAAGCTTGGAAGGGTGGAAAGAGCCGTAGAGGCCCAGCATGAGGAATATGTATGTGTTGGAACGGCAGAAAAAGCCGTAGAAGCCCAACCAAGAAGTAATCATTCCAAATAGGAATATGTATGTGTTGAGCTAGCCTCAAGAGATCAAGAAAACTCAACTATTCATTCTACTGATTTCATTAAACAAGGCAATAAATTATGGACACAACGAGTAATGAACAAGAAAGCAATTAGATTTATCTATATACAAGATTATAGCTCTTTTATTCTTACCTTTTCACCAATTTCTTTACAAATTTCCGTTTCTTCTACACATTTAATTTCTTCCAATTTACATCCTTAACATTAATTACCATCATTTCTATCCTTTTCATCTTAATTAATTCTTACTCTTAACTAAATTATATTGTTACCACAGTCGTCGTACTGACGAGATCCAACTGTGGTAGCGGTAAGAAATGTATACGACTTCATGGACCGAAACATTTCTTACCAAATTTAATATTTCTTTTTCCCATCCTTCCTTTCTTAGCTTTTCTATCACCCTTTCTTATATTTCTCCATCATCATTCTTACATTTTCCTTTTAAGCTTAAATAAGAAATGAAACTTTGCAGTAAAAAATTACCTCAGGAAATGCGAACTGTGTTTTTGGTGAATTCATGGCAATTCGATAGTGACATGCAAGTGCCAATTCAAGTCCACCACCCATACATGTACCCATTATTGCAGCAACTATTGGCTTCTCGCTACTTTCGATACGCAAAAATTCCCGTTGTGCTTCAGCCGAAATTTGCCGCGCATCCGTTGAATTTTTACACTAAAACTGCGTGTACATATATATGTATATACTATAAAAATTGAAAAAAAAAATCATTTTAATTAAAAACAATTAACGAAAAATTTGGAAATTAATAGAAAGTTGTAATAAGAAGGAATGAAATAAAGAGAAAAAAGGAAAAAGAAGGTGAGGGGAATGAAAACCAGTTTTAATTAATTAGAATTCCGAAAATAATAAAATTTTGCAGTCGGATTGTTAACAATCGCTCAGAAAAAACCAGGGCTAAAAATCATTATTCAAATGCTCCGATACACCAA